AAAAAAATTAAATAAAATTTTTCTTTTTAATCCAACAACAGTACACCATTACCGATTAACAGTCTCTAATGGGTTCATCCAGTTATATATTGGTTAATTGTTTGCACCATTAACACTGCAACAGTCACTTCAATTCTACATCCTTTTAAAAAAAATTTGTCATTGTATAACATCAAAAATTTTTTCTTCATATTTTCCACATTTAAATCAACAAAAAGAGCCAAAAAAATTCAACCCTTAACTTGAGCAAAAGATTACTTGTTAGCAAAAAAAAATTCAAATATTTACTTGAATTGCAAAGACCTCAGCTGATAGAAAAAATTGAGAGAAAACAGTTAACCTGCTTTTTTGTTTAGCTCTAAAAACCTTTGACTTTTCAGATAATAAACTACCATACAACCCAACTAACTGTAGCTGTAACGATGTATCAGAAACTCTGAAAAAAAAAGAGCAAATTTTAAGATTCAACATCAATAGGCCAATTGAGAAAATATGATGCAGGAGCGGTATAGCTAGAACAAGACGATGAAACCCTGTAAAGACTAGTGTAACTGATATGAAGATATAAAGCCGTCAAAGACAGATGTCAAAAACGAATCATAAGAAAAAACACTAAATTCCTCAAAAAATTTGATCCACAGAATATGTGCCGTAAACCGAAAAATAATCAAAACAACAGCAACAAGAAAAACTATAATAGATTTGAAGATTATATATGTAATTTAAATTAGAAAAAGAGAAACAACTGCAATTATCGCTTATTTTTGTACCATATATTTGAATAATCTTCAAATTTTTTGAAAAGCAACTAATTTTTAAAAACTATTTGTTTGACAAAAAAAAAAAATGGTAATTTAGAAGTGAAAAAAAAGAAGTACATTAACTAAACCAGTAATGACAAAGAACGTATTCAATACTTCAAACGAAAGCAGTTGGTTGTTACCCGATTAGCGCAGATAATGATGAGAAAACCGGTACCGAAAACCTCAGATTAGATGAACTCGAGACGAAAAAAGGCAATACAATAATTAGCTGACCGTTTGATTAGACGTCAATCCACACGGTTACATTTTGCCGTCCAAGCAAATACCACAGCACCTCGTGGGGAAAGAGGAAGCTAACAAGAATTGTAGCAGTAAGCCAAAGTTTCATTTTTAGCCTCTATGGTTTCCTTCTATAAATTCTTCTAAAAAATTTATAAACAAAAGATGTCAAGTGATCGTTAAACTAATACTGGTAAATACGTTAAACAACTTACTGTTTGCATTGTGACCTGTAAATCTGCACAATGCCTATGCTCTCTGTACCACTGATATTGTTTTTAAATTGGCTATTTACTTTCGCAGAAGCCCAAACAATTGTTTATTAAACCGTGTATCACAAAATTTGCGCAGTAACCGTTATAGGTGCAACCGATGACAAACACGGTACTTTTTAAACAGTAAACTTGTTTTTCAAAAAAAAAAAAACTGAAAAAATTTCCTCATAAATCAGTTGAATTTAGCTGTTAAAAATAGTAAAGTTTTGCTGTATCCAGTCAAGAACTTAAAAATACACAAGACATACATGTTGAATTATTGAAGCCAGTCAAGCTTTTTTCTCCTCGTTAAAACTTTTTCTTCTTTAACTCGGTATGGATGAGAAAAATCAGTAGAACAATTTTCACTTTAAAAACTTTCGCAATCAGCGAAAGATCAGTGCCAACCTGAAAAACTGGACGAATACGTCTGACTATCCGACAATGAGCAGCAGTTCACTTTTTAAGTTATGAATAATTGACTATCAAAACGTCGTCATAGATTAACAAGGCAGAACCAATATTTCGTATCAAATGACCAGTAATGATCGAAAAACCACAGGTCAGAGCTGGATAGTTAACACCAGTTCACTTGACTTCCAGCAGAAAACCTCTACAAAGATAAAGGAATGTGTCCAGCCGAAGAAATAGATTTCACTATGCAACAATAGTGTCCATTTAGACCACCGTTTCCCAAAAGTAAGTAATGTCTCTTCTCTAAAAAGCGACAGAATGTACCATGAAGACGGTGGAAGTCTATAGTGCACCAAGGAGCAAATAAAAGTGTCAGAAAGGCATTAAAGGCCCTGAGCGACAGTTGAGCAACCTAAGATTTAAAGTTCGTTTCAAAAATAGTAATGATTTGTGACAATATTTCCATAAAAGCAACTTTCTCAAATTGTACGGTTCCATTTTAATAAATTTTTGTTCACACCTTTTTCTTTCGGTTTAGAAGAATTCAAAACAATTACAAAGTGGCCATTAACTGTACTATAAGAAAGCGGTGAGGAGGAGCAGAGGAAGCGACTTGACAGGTGGGAGGTAAATGATAAAAACCTTTGCCCACGAAGTGGCGATTGACCAAAAAAGTTTGAAGAACAACAGTCTGGACAAACGTAAGAGTGATTTAAGGCATAAGTAAACAGCAACAAGTTTCATAAGCAGTTCACGTCTCCTCCTTTCCAGATAAATTTCGTAACCAAATGCAACTATTATTGTTCTTTATAAGGACATGGCTTAAATTGGCTTAAATCCGCATTAGCAAAACGAGTTTTTTCCCTACGTTTCCATATAAGTAGAAAAAAATGAAGTGAACGAGTAGTGAGAGACTAATAGGCATCCCATGCAAAATTGGTCACTTTATTAAAGGTCAAAAATTGAAGTGAAAAAACGGGAAGAAAGAACCGTAAAACCACTGTTCCTACTCTTCCTTTTACGATTTAATGCAAAAAATTACTACTTGCTTCCACTGCTAATCATTTTAACTGAGAATTTTTTTGCGTATCATATAGTTTTATACAGATAGTTAGGACACAAATACCAAAAATTGGTAATCGGTGAAGCCATTGAACGTCAATTAAATTCCAAAGACTTTTGTTACTGTTATAGATTATTTGTTATTGATGCTAATGTTATTATTAATGGCACCATTTATATTGGCATCAACATTATTCCTGCATTACTATCTTTATTATTACTATTACTGGCCTTGTTACTGTCATTATTATCACATTACTTATGACTGCCAGTGACAGGATTATTACTGGTTTTATGATTATTACAATGTCAAATTGAAATCCGTAATACATCTGGTCATAAAATACTTGCACAAATTTCTGTTCGCTTTTGCCAGTAAAAACCATCAAGATCCTCTAATCACCTGAGAGCGAACAGAAACTATGACTTTTACAATACCCTTAATCTTCCTAAAAAACTCAACCTATTAGTCTTACAGAAAACAATATTCCTGCCTTATTCAGAAAATACAGGACGTATCATCATGTGCCTTAAATTAAACACCAAACATTTTTAAGACTCAAAGACTTCATATAGTACTCTTAAGAATACCTTTCATCACACTCCAACTAACAACTCTATCTGAGTTGCGTGAAAAAAAGACCTCTCCTTGAAGTTTTGTAAAGATGACTTCGACACTTCCGAACCCCTCTTGCGCCTTCCACTGTTCCCTAAAAAAAATATTCCGCGGTATTTCACTTCAATAACGGTTTCAACCGACACTATATATTTTGAAAATTCCCAACCGCCTCATACTCGTACCGCCAAGAAGCCTTAAACAAAGCAAAGCGATAAATCTCAGTTACTTCCAGATCTGCACACAAAAGATGTGATCACCCAAACTTGCAACAAAAACTAGATTTTGCACAATGCTATTAACCACGAGAACACTACCACCAAACAAACAACCCCCCCCCC